ACATAACCACACCCACTCCAACAAGACCACACCCTCCTCCAAGTGCCACTCCCTGGCCCAAGCATATTCAAACCATCACAGAGGCTATAGGCCCAGGAAAGGGCTACAAACAGGTCAAACCAAGACAGTTTGGTAAAGCGACTGGACACAGAAGACATCTAAGTTTGAAAAGGGTGTGGGGGCTGGGGGGAGGGATGGAGGGAGGCATGAAGCTTCATTTTCTTTAACTCTTTCAGCTTGAAAGGCAATTAGAGTTCAATACTTGGGACACACATGGTAGAAGGAAAGAACTGAGTCCTGGAATCTGTCCTCTGACCTCCACACACCAGCTGAGGTACACTATTTCTCATATACATAATTTTTTTTGAGACAGGGTTTCTCTGTGTAGCCCTGGCTGTCCTGGAACTCACTCTGTAGACCAGGCTAGCCTCGAACTCTCAAACTCAGAAATCCGCCTGCCTCTGTGTACCAAGTGCTGGGATTAAAGGCGTGCGCCACCACCGCCAGGCTATTTTTTTAAGTCTCTAAAAAAAAATAACTTCAAAGTACAGGGAGATTTTAATAGACGATAAATCAGTGAATCAGAATCCCTAAAAGGGTAGTATTTCTCATAGATACTACAGATGGATCTTTGGGGAAAAGCAGTAGATTGTATCATTAGCTAATCTAATCAAGAAGAACAGGGGGAAGAGGCTAGGAGATGGCTCAGTCAGCAGAGTGCCCGTGTCCCTCAGATCCCACTAAGTGGGACGTGGTGACACGTGACCATAACCCCAGCACTGGGGAAGCAAAACCAGCCAAATGCCTGGGGCTCGCTGGCAGCCGAGTCAGCAAGTCGCAGCCGAGTGAGAGAGGCTGTCTCAGACAAGCATGGGAACCCGGGGTCATCCTCTGGACTCTACAGTTGCGCCGCGTGAAGCTACACACACAGAGAAAATCCCCGGCATCGGGGTGAAATGCCACGTAAGAACACTGCGCCGCTCTGCTCAGCCCTGTGTAAACGCATCGAAAAACCTGCGTCTCAGACTCGTTCAAGGAGCAGATAAAATAATTATTGGAGCGGAAACGGTGAACAGCATTAAAAAGCTACCGGCCCCACGTGGCACACGCAGGCTGGTTCACCCAGAAGGGAGCGAGCTTTAACAGACATCAACGGTTGACCGGCACAGGGGGAGGGGGAAAAGCTGCAGATGGCAATGGACCTGGTAGGAGGGAAGGTTTGAGGTAACCTGGGCTACATTCAAGAACCTGCCTTAAAGGATGCTAACGTTATCTAATTAAGGTAAGAATTTAAAAGAACAGATCTAATCCTGAAAGTATGCCATAGGGTGATTTCCCAGGACCACCTGGGGTCCAAGCAGGGATGCAGGGTGTTTTAACAGGAAGGCGTCCAGTGACATCATTATTCATATTAAGAGGCCGGAGAACGCATATGCTCAGAACGTGCAAGCCTGTCTGGAAGTGCTCCAGCCCCTGTTCTTATTTTAAAACTGACAGGTGTCAACATTCCAAGAACACTGTAGTGTGCAGATTGCCCAGGAAATGCCAGTTCTGAAAGAGTTGCTTGGTCAAGCCTGTCTCTTCCATTCCTATCTTATTTAATGTTCTGGGGGATGACAGAGAGTCAACTCTAGCCAACAAAAGATAAAATAGGAGATAGTTGGATATTGGTGAGTTTGGGGCTAGCCTGATCTACATAGAGGGCACCGGGCCAGCCAGAGCTACAGAGTGAGACCCTATCTTAAAACAAAACAGACACAAGAACCCAGAGCATGGCGGTGCACACCCGTCACTCCTCCGACTCTGCAGGGAGAAGCGGGGGATACTGAGTACACTCTCAAGAGCATGGCAGGTCTGAACTAGCCTGGACCACACGAGACCTCTGTCAGAACTGAAAAGTATTAAGAAGTGACCGTTCTCACTGATCATAACCGGAGCGGCTGACCCGGGAGGCCCTTACAGCGACAGAAGGCGGCAGCATTCACAGAGCTGCCTCCGCTATGGGAGAGGCAGACTGGGCCCCAAATGCACGGGCGCTCAATGCAGCGACTCAGAACACTCCCAGGGGACACAAGAGGAAGTCTGAACGCACAGGCACAGGCGTGCCTGCCTGGGGGCGGGGGTGGAGATGAAGACAGTATTACAAAACGCCATTTCTTCCTGGACCTAAGGTCCCACACTATGAGCCAGTAAGTGGCTCCTCGGGTCAGAGGGCAAGTACACAAGGTTACCATGGAGACGGGGTGGTTTACTGACAGAGCTAGAAGCTCCAACAAACATCAGCGTGTAGATATCCACCCTTCAATGTGGCTGACCTTGGCTAGCCAGCCAGGACCGGCCAGGTGCTGGCCCATGGGTAAAGGTACAGGATCCCAAGCCTGAGGATAACTCATTCCTACAACTTGTTCTCTGACCTCTACCATGTGCCTAATGGTGTGTGTGCGTACTCACACGCAAATAAATGTAATTACAGAGAAACAACCACAAGAGAATTTCCGGGCTCCTGTGGACATGCAGTGGGGTGCACCTTTCTGTTTCAGAGGCGCATGGGTGGAGGCTTGAAGAGAAGATATGTCAGATTACATGCACTGTGCTGTCAAGAATTTTACCATTAAAGGGTATCCCATAACAACCAGAAAAGCCTACACAAGGTGTGAATGAGTCGATTATGAAGTTCAGGGTTGAACTTCTCTGTGGGTGGAGGGAGGCGGTGGCGGCGGCGGTCACTGGGTATGGGGTTTCCGGTGCTATGGGGAGGCTGACATACCTGCTGATGAGTGTACCCAGAGATCATCGCTGGCTGAACGGGGTCAAGTATAGCTGGGTAAACTCAACCAAAGTTTCTAACCCCCAGCAATGAAAACAGCTGGGTGTGGTAGTGTGACCTGTATCCTGGCACTGGGGAGGTCGAGGCAGGGGATCAGGAGGCTAGAGTCATCTCAGGCTACACGGTGAATTCAAGGCTAGACTGGGCTATAATAATGCCTGGCCTCAAAAATGAAAGCAAAATGGGGGGGGCTGATTAGTATGTATGAAAACATGGTGAACCTGGTTGGTGAGCTCAGTGGTTAGAGAGGAGCTTGCTTGGCAGGACCGAAGCCCTGGGTTCAACCCCCAGGGTCACCAAACAGAAAAGAAAGGGGGGCAAAGCAGCACTGGGCTGATTCCTGGACACACAGAGATCTCAGCCTCTTACTTTACAACCAGTAAATTACAAAACAAATGAAACTGGGTCTCTACGTAGTGCTGGCTGTCCTGGAACTCATTATGCAGGACAAGCTGGTCTCAAACCTGCCTCTGACTCCCAAGCGCTGGGCAAACACTTTTCAATACCGTGTGTGTGTGTGTGTGTGTGTGTGTGTGTGTGTGTGTGTGTGTGTAAGTCTTTAGAAGCGTGCTAAGTTGTATTATAATTTTTAAAAGAGGCAGGAAGAAACCTTGGGGGGGTGGAATCACTCTCCTTTAAGCAGCAGCCTGGGACGGCTCCTCTAAGTTCGCCTTAAACCCCAGAAGCCACACGAGGAAGTAGGAATGAACTGAGGCAGAATCTAAGACAGAAGACAAATCGGAGAGACGTGAAGTCTTCTGTGTGACACCCACGCAGTTCCACATATCCGCCAAGATGGACAGATGCTACTACCCCATCAGAAAAAAACAGACCTGGAGAGGTGGCTCAGCGGTTAAGAGCACTGACTGTTCTTCCAGAGGTCCTGAGTTCAATACCCAGCAACCACATGGGAACCATCTGTACAACCATCTGTAATGGGATCCAATGCCCTCTTCTGGTGTGTCTGAGGACATCTACAGTGTATTCATATACATAAAATAAATCTTAAAAAAAAAAAACAGACAAAGGAACGTAAAGAATGCTCAAGGTCAAACAGTAGGGACTTCTGTCATTGTAAAGTCGACATGGTAAACCCGTGTCCGTGTGAGCCGAGATGTGAGGAAGTGCGTCCTTTACACGGGGCTGCACACCGTCCCAGGGTGTGACAGCTAAAGCTAAAGCTGTCAGAACCCACTCACAGCATCACAAAGTGTCTAACGTGCCCTGAGACCCCGTATTTCCTCTTCCAGAGTCTCCCCCACGCTCGCTCGTTCACACCTGGTGACAGCACAGGTTTTCCTGCCGCACTGCCTATCAAACCAACAAGCTGTGGCCGGTTTAGACAGGGGGCCGGCCGAATAGATTATGGTTCGGGCCCTTGCCAGAGAAAGTTAAATGGAGAGAGGCTGCTCTTTGGCAGCTAACCTGGAGGATGTTTGGCCAAGTGAGTGCTGGACCGTGTCAGATGTACGTGTGCGCACACACTCGCTGGAGCACATGAAACATCTGTGGGCACACGGGAAACGGATGTGAGCTGCCTCAGAGGGGAGGGGCTTTGGTCTCTCTACCCCTTCCTTCCTTAGGAATGTTGAAGAAGAATGTGACTTTCAAGATAAATAAACAGTCTGAAGAAGCAGCCACAGTGTCAACAGCTGGCTTCTAGGCCACAGGGCAGAAGCTGTACTGTGCTTCCCTGCGGACCCACACCCATCCCTACTCTGGGTCCAGGCCAGCCTCGAGCTCAGGGGTGTCCCACCTCCCTACCCAAGGCCTGAGGTTCCAACTGCAGAACTCTCAGTTCGAGGCCTGTGGTGGGTGGGCTCCCTGGAGCATGAGCATAGACCCCCCCCCCCAGCTCTCTCTGCCTTAGAAGTTCTGCATGAACACCTCAGAGAGGGGCCGGGCGGTGGTGGCGCATGCCTTTAATCTCAGCACTTGGGGGGCAGAGGCAGGCGGATTTCTGAGTTTGAGGCCAGCCTGGTCTACAGAGTGAGTTCCAGGACAGCCAGGGCTACACAGAGAAACCCTGTCTCGAAAAAACAAAAAACAAAAAACAAAAACACCTCAGAGAGAGATCTGACTGGGACATAATAACCTGCCCTCCCAAAGCCCAAGAACAGAAAGCAAGTCCCCGGGTGCCGGAAGAGGAAACCCGTCGGGAGCAGTCACTCACACTTGCGAAGATCCAGGCTCTTGCTTGGACAGGCCAGGTGTTGGCCGGGTGGGTTCTGAGGCCTCTGCAGACAGGCCAGCATGGCTGAGCTGGGAGCCCTGGATGGGGCACGGTCTGCAGCAGAAATCCTTCAGAGAGAAACACGAAGCATTGGTCACTGAGGGCTGCTATGAGCCACCTCCGTCCTCCCCAGCACCCCCAAGCAATGTCACACTGGGGTGTCTCTTTGTAGTCCAGGCTGGCCTACAGGTATAGTCCCCCCCAGCCTGGCTTTGGGCCAGACATTCTATCTCTCTCAGATGAGGGAACTGTGGCTTCTAGAGAAGCCCCAGAGGCATCACGGAAAGGAACCAGGTCTCAAGGGGGAGCCCTCCACCACAGCACGGCCAGAACTCATGAGCCTCATGTGCCCTTGGCTAGCTCAATATGTGGGTCACCGCTCTACGCCCTAACTCAAGATGTTCTTTGGCTGGTGGTGGACCTCAGCTCTCTCATAGTCCCATGATACATCAGTGCCTAGCTCACCGGGAGAGGGACCCATATGGTCATTTTTGGGGTCCATACAGGAGTAACCAGGTAGGGCTTGTGGGTACAGTGTCCTTGTTTAACGTAAGTGCTAGTCTAGCACTGTTTGGGGTGTTCTCACAGTACCCCTGGAGAAAAGATGTCAGGATGGTATGCTAGGGAGGTTTGGGGCCCTCCACTGACTGTTCACCCCAAAGAGGAAGGGTGGGGCCAGAGTCACCCACAGCAACCCTTAGGTCGCAGCTCAGATGGGCCACTCTCAGCCCACGCTGTATTCATGTACTTAAACCAGACACCAGGGATAGGGGGACTCAGGAAGCCCACATGTCCTCACAAAGCCCACCTTCCTGAGCACTGGTGTCAGCACAGGCCAGCCTCAGAGGCCACCATGGAAGATAAGGGAGTCCCAGTCAGTTTTCCTCTCTCCCCCCACCACCACCACAGAGGAAGGCTTCTCCCTCCTGCCACCCCTGTCCCTGGCAGCCAGCCTGGGTTGCCTCTATCCTGAGCTGGTTAGAAGGAGAAGGAGAAGGAGGGGGGTGGTGTTTAAGGGGGAAGAGGGGGAAGGTATTTAATACTAAACAGGTGTCTGAAGCCCGGGATTCTGCCGCCTCTAATAATGAAGTATTCATGAGGAAAAACCTTTTTTTTTCCACCAGTTTCTTAAGATACTAATTTCACAACAAGCTCCTTGTTACCGCGCAATTATTCCAATCTTGTATTCCCCGAGACGGTGGCAGCCTCCCGTCTGTCCTGGCCTCTCCGTAAATGAAAGACAACCGCGTAACCACCTTTCATTACGTTCTATTTTACTTTCAGCAAAGGTACCCGAGAGTAAAGACTTCCTCTGAAAGGGACTTTTATTCAGTTTCAAAACCAATTTTCTCCTATTACTGTCTTAGAAAAAAAAAAAGAAAGAAAGAAAGAAAGAGAAAGAAAAAGTGGGGGATGGATAGCTATGGGGGAGGGAGATGCTCTTCCCCTCCCCCCCACAGGCTGCAGTCTTAACACAGCGAGGCAATAAAAGCAGCAATATCTATCTACTTCCCAGCTTTGATTTCTGGTAATTTTAAAATATGCCATTACAATCAGGCAGCAACGGCACGGCTCAGGGAGGGAGTGAAGTGGGGCTTATTGCTCGGATGGAAGTCCTTGACTGCAGAAGGCAGCGAGGCTCTTCAGGGACCTGGGATGGCAGCATGTGGCAGACACAGGCCTGCTTGGGCTGCCGCCGCAGTATGCCACAGCCTTGAGGACACAGTCCACCCCACCAAGGCTGAGGGTGCTGGACTTCCACACACTCTGCAGGCACACACCGTGCATGTGCAATATATACCGGTGTCACACTCTGTCACGTGGGCGGGGTCCCTGAAATGTACATGGTGGCAGTCCACGGGGACACAGGACTGCTATACACAAGGCTGGTGGTACCTGCCTTGATCCCACCTTCATCTCTCCGTGACACCATCTGTTTCCTGTCGTTTCTTGCCATCCTGACAAACCCCACCCAGGTCCCTCTCTTCACAGGTGACAATGACTGAAGGCGCCCCCCCCCCCCCCCCGCCAGCTGTCTGACTTCCACAAGGCCGGCTCATGGGGCTAGGAGGAGGGAGGATGTTGCCTAGAGTCTCTCCCAGTTCCTGTACAGGTTGGGCCGTACTCTTTTGACTTGTTAAAGCCACCCCATGATTCTTCTGGCACCCCTAGGCATATAATTCCTGAGTCCTGACCTAACCTCTTACCAGGTGCAGGAGGCCAGGGTCCCAGCCTTGCTCCAGGCTGAGGGATCCTGGTGAGTCGCCCATCCCCACACACTTGTAGCTAAAAAGGACAGGGTGGGCTGCAGCTGAGGAACGAGGGGGACCCACCTGCACTGGCGCCTTTTCAGACCCCAACTGCCTCCTGGGGCCTCCAGCCCTCTTATGCTAAAATATCCAGGCAGCCAAGGAGCCACAGGGCCACCAGACTGAGCTTGGGCCAGTCTGAGCTAGTCCTGGGAGGAACTGACCACCCTAGCTTCTCAGGGTAGCTCCTGCCGGTGCTCACCTCTGGGGGACCCAGGCTGACTGACCCACAGTGACATCAACTTCACTTGGAAGAGGAGTGGGGAGTGTCTCACCTGCTAAAAGTCGCCCAGTCCACTGTCCCTTCTTCCCAAACCCCATGTCCTATGGTGAGAACTGGGGAGGTGAGGGGGTTGGGGACAGGTCTCAGATGAGCCAGGGGCCAGCCAAGTATCATAGGAAGTGCGATACGGACCCCAAGTTTCTGTATCAGACCAACACTTAGGTCTTTAAACTTCTTCCAGCATAGCCAACCCTTTCTGCCTGGCCTCAGTGCTCCCCGAGCTGCCCAGTTTCTCAAGGCCTCCCTCCTGGCTAACTGCCTCAGACACCTGCTGTGCCTTCTGCCTGTGGCACTATCACCCAGACCATCGTAGTTCAGGGCTGGCCTCTCTGCCAGGTGTCCCTTGTTGCTACAATCCCAATCACACCTGTAATAGCCAGCTTCGTGTCTGTCTGCCTCTACCGGACTGTACGTAAGTCTCTAAGAGGTGAGGACCGCGTCTTATTTGCTTCCGTCCCTGCAGCGTCTGGCCAGGGAACATCCTTTAATAGGCAGACGTTAGGAGACGGCTCAGCAGCGAAGAGTGATTGTTGTTCTTCAACAGGATCTGAGTTTGAATCCTAGCGCCCATGTAACTCCAGTACTAGGAGATGTCACACCCTCATCTGGCCTTAAGGGCACGTGTACCTATATGGCATATACTCACAGGCATACAGATTAAAAAAAAAAAAAAAGTAAGGCCTCTAACGAATGACTGCATCAATTAATTGTCTGTGAGATGAAATGTATGAAAAGCCCAGAGACATCAAGGATTCTGCCTAAGGTCACACAGCAAGCCAGGGATAGAGCTCTAACTGGGCACCTACAACACCCATGCCTTTCCTCTGATTCCCAGCCTGCCTCCTCCTTGCCCGGCCCCACCCCACCCCATCTGCAGATGGCGGGTCCCTCAATCCCGCAGCACAGAATCATCACAGTCCGGCCCAGCCGGGGACCATCTGGAGGGCTCCACTGTCTGCAAATCGGTCTGTTTATAAGCTCAAGGCCTTTTGTGACTTTAATAATAAAGGGGGGGTAGGAGGGACAATGTCGAAAGCCTCCGATGATTACCGTGCTCAGGCACCATCCCTGACGTGGGATTAGATAAGGCGTCTTATCTGGGAGACACCCAAGGAAAAGGTCTCTCCGCCAGATAACACCCCAGCTGTCGAAATGCCCTTTCATAGCCGGACAGCAGATAAGGAGCCGTGACAGCGGATGGAGGAGGAGAGAAACTTCCTGCGCTGAGGAGAATGGAGTCTGCTGCCCGAAACCAAACAATGAGCGAGGCAGACGCTGTCTCTGGGCTGTCTATTTTATTCAAAGAAGAGTCTTTGGGGGGTGGGTTGGCGGCCTTCTGTCATCTCCCTCTGTATCTGGGGGCTGCAGGGAGTCCTAAGAGGGTGGAGGGAGAGCTTGGGAATAGCAGGGTGCTGGGTACTGAGGAAAGCTGTTAAAGTGGTTCCATTTTGACTATGAAAAAATCTTCTGCATCCAGATCTGAGTGCAGGCTATCCCTCCACTGAGCTGTGGTGGCACAGTAGCCTTGGCTAGACCCTGGGTTTAGCTCCCTTTCACATAGTGGGAAATAGTCACTGTGTGTGTGTGTGTGGGGGGGGGGTGCAAACCATATAAGATCAGACAGATTTTTAATTGTCAGAGCCCAACCTCAGGCTACTGAATGGTAATTCCATCCTAGTGGGAAGATCCCAGAAGGCCCCAGCTTCAGTCAATTCACTATTGAGGAACAGATGCAAGGCCCTGATTCCCCTCAGCACCCACAGTCCACCTGGATTCTACCCTGGGAGGGGCTGGGAAGAGAGGAGAGGCCTCCTCAGAGACCACCCACACACTCCATAACCATTCAACAGAGCACAGCGTATGTGCCATGCAGCAGGTGGAAGGAGCCCTGCCCTCCCCCCACTCACTCACCACTTGGGCAGCAACACTGGCAAACACCTTTTGGGGGCAACCCTGGTGCCACATACAGGAACACTGGTAACGGGTAAGCGTGACCTGCCACAATGCCCCAGGACACCACTCCCTCAGAACTGCCCTCCCTGGCTAAGTCCAACCGTAGCTGAAAATAGATTGCTCTGGCCTCTTCTCCCTCAAAAGGGAGACTGTGCCCCCTTGCCTTGAAGGGAAGGCCGCCTGCCCCTACCAAAGCCTGGGCCACTCCCAGCCTCCAGTTCTGCCTTTATCTAGAACTGCCTAAGCTGATCTCTGCAGTTCTGCTCAAGGCCAGACACAGGCGGCAGCCTAGAGAGGAAGGACACAGCAGGCACCCGTACCAGGGTGAGGAGGTCAGAGAGGAGGCAGCAGCCAGGCGAGGAGTAGGCGCTGGGGTCTGGGGTGACTTTGAGGGTATCACAGTACCTAGGATGTCTGTCCTTCCCTGGCTGAACTTTGGTGGGGAGTCAGCCAGTCTGGGCGTGGGAGTTTTCAGCATGAGCCATACATCAGCTGGGTGGGAGACCTAGGGCCGGG